CTTCAACATGGTCATCAGACTTAAGTAGAAAAAAATGAACATTTTCATAACAATGCATGTGCTGGAACATTGAACATTTTGTTATAAAAAAAACTCGTCCATCAATTGCGAATTTGTTTATAACCCAGTGAATTTGCAGCAAATAGTCTGACTGTAACCGGGAAAGTGAACCTCAGAAGGTGACATCAAGTATTGATTATAAAAGTGATCTGATCTTTGTCCTTCAACCAAGGAATTTTTTTTTTTTGCTCAAGTCCAGAGAATTCCTTCAGATTCTGAATTTGTACACCTGTTTTTAATCAATTTAAACCTGAACGTAAATCTTTTACACACAGATAACAAGAACAATCACTTAAATAAATAATTATTTAGTTTGATGGAACTTTTTCCCCAAGTCAACATGAAGACTTTGGACATCTTCTGAAGTGTCAATATCGGCTCTCACTGCCGTCATCACAAGATGAAAACGGAGTCATTTTGCCTGAGTTCTGTGCGTTGTGATTGGCTGTTGGTTTGTGTAGAAATAGGCTTGGGCAGCAATGTTGATATTTTGCTTCAACCAGTATCTAGTTTTGATATTCGCAGGCAACATGAAGACTTTTGAAGGACATTTACCGAATGCGGTGAGGAATTATCCATTTACGTAATTCTTCACTAAATAACTACAAAGACTGCCAAATGGCTAAAAACTCCAAGATGGACTTTGCAACGTCGTCCACAAAGGAGGCTGTCTGCAGGAAGGTGTGTGTGGTCTTCTCTCGATGACCATTTCATAAAAGCATAACAGTGCATTGATTGTTCAGCTTGAGAAGTATGGGAGAGTCTCAGGTCTTCTCACCGGTATGAGTTCTGAGGTGACGGGTCAGAATGCTGCTCTGTCTGAAAGATTTGTCACAGAATTCACAAGAATAAGGCTTCTCCCCTGTGTGACTCCTCAGGTGACGAGCCAAATCGCTGCGTTGCATGAAAAATTTATCACACAAATCACAAGGATATGGTTTCTGACCTGTGTGAGTGCTCATGTGATTGGTCAAATAATAAGAGTGCTGAAAGGACTTACCACATAGTTTGCAAGAATATGGTTTCTCACCTGTGTGGGTTCTGAGGTGACGAGCCATGTTGCTATTGTCTCGAAAAGATTTGTGGCACAAGTCGCAACGAAACGGCTTCTCACCTGTATGAGCTCTTGTGTGAACATTCAAGGCAGATTGCCTTGGGAAACTTTTGCCACAAGTCAAACATGAGAAAGGTTTCTCCCCTGTGTGTGTTCTAAGATGACGAACCAAATCACTACTCTGTCTAAAAGATTTAACACAGAATTCACAAGGATGTCTGTCACCCATGTGAGTTCCTATGTGACGTGTCAAATTACCACGGTCTCTAAAAGATTTATCGCACACATCACAAGAATACTGCTTCTTTCCCATGTGAGTTCTAATGTGTCGAGCTAAATTACTCTGGTCTCGAAACGATTTATTACACAGTTCACATGGATACGGCTTCTCGCCTGTGTGCGTTCTCATGTGCATAGTTAAAGCAAATTTCCTGATGAAGCCTTTCCTACATGTCATGCATGAGAAAGGCTTCTCACCTGTGTGAGTTTTAAGGTGACGAGACAAGTCATGTCGTTTTTTGAAAGATTTTTTGCACACTTCACAAGAATATGGTTTCTCATTGGTGTGAGTTCCCATGTGTCTGGCCATCCCAGTCCAGTCACTGAAGGATTTGGCACAGAGTTTACAGTGATATGGCTTTTCCCCTGTGTGTGTTCGCTTATGAATAGTGAAATGTCCACCATACCTGAAGGACTTACCACACACTTCACAAAAAAACGGCTTCTCTCCTGAGTGAATCCTTTCATGCCGAAGCAAATTACCACTATTTCTAAAAAATTTATTACACATTTTACAAGGATATGGCTTCTCACCTGTGTGGATTCTCATGTGCAAACTCAAGTGCTGTTGGGTTGTTAGATATTTACCACAAACTTTACAGCAGGGTACATCTGTTTTATGTGCTTTTAGTTGTGAGTTGTCCACACTGTCCCTCTGATTTCTGCTGTCCTGTGGTCTCTTCTCTGGACTCAGATCTGTGTCTCTACTTGATCCTGAGTCGTTCTGGTTGCTTTCTTGCTGATGTTGGTTCTCATCTTCAGGTCCGTTTGCAGAGAGGAGCTGGTTCTTGTTTGGTTCTGGTTCATCATTGTCTTTTTGCTCATAAGTAGGAGACACCATAAAGGTTTCAGGATCCTGCTTCACTAAAAGATGATCTTCATCCTGATCACTGCAGAGATGCTTTTGCTCTTCTTTAATCTCTACCGGTTCTGGCTCCTCCTTTGTCTCCATCCTCTGCTCTGGTTCTGGTTCATTGTGGAATATTTTCTCATAAGCAGCAGTCGCCATAGAGATGTTGGTCTCCTGCTTCACTAAAAGCTGCTCTTCATCCTGAATGCCCCACAGTTCAACCTGTTCTTCTTTGATTGGTTGAGGTTCTGGTTCCTCTTTCGGCTCGCCCGTCTGGTGTTGTTTCTGCTCTTTTATTTTCATAGCGTTTACCGTCATGGACATCCGAGTTCTTCCCTTCAGTTATGAGAGCATGAGCAGGAACAGACATGTGGCTGTGGAAGACCTGAAGGAAGAAACAACAGCAGAAGATTTTTCTGAGGCCCAGCAGAGCGAAATGAAAACAGAGACCAGAATTACTGAAGGCGTAACTGAACCGAAACAAGGCCTAGACTGGATCAGATGGAAAATGGTGATGTCAAATATAGTTTACAGTTTGTTAACATTTGTCCCAATTTCAGTAAGTAATAAAAAAATAAAGAAAAAACAAACAAATGAAAATAGAGACAAGAGGTGGGAATCAGCACCTTCCAACAGCTTAAATGCTATGTATGGGGCGCCCCTGCTCTTCCTGTATCTGTGACCTCTGACCCCTGAACTTCTATCAGCCATTACAAATGTTTAATCTGTTATTAACATGTAGCCATATGAGGCACATTTTGAGCCGTCTTTGTGCTAACAGACTTTTATTTTACATTTAAACATGTTGGCCTTCAAAACGTGAACAAATCTGATTCCTATTCCGAATTCAGAAAAACAAAAATATCCTTATTTTTAAATAACGGGAGTTAAGAGACAGTCAGAGCGAATAGTGTGTTCAGAGTTTCACTAAAATCATTTGACTTTTAATACTTCAGCATCTTTATATTATTTTAGTCATTGAGAACAAAAACAATGGTGTCCACGTTTTTTCCATTTTATGCTGCAATTTAATAATGCAGCATAAAGAGTTAAAAGAATTGTAACAAAAATCATATTTCAATATATTAGAACAATCGCCTTTGTCCTTCAGGCATTTTAGTTTCAAAATGTGTGCTTTATATTTTTAAGTGCTCAAGTTTTCTATGTTTCATATTTATAGAAAGAGGTTGACTTCTGGTGACCCTATTCTGAAAAGTTAAGAGTTTTCTCTCCTTTGTAAAATATAAAAGAGAATTCAGTTTGTATTGAAGTCAGAAAATATAATTTAATTTTATTTACTTAATTTTCAAAAATAAAACGTTTAAATTAGTGTGTTTAAAAATGTTCTTAATTCTGACTAAGAACTGGAACAACAATACTATATTCCAACTTTTCTCTATTCTTGCTCTACAATGTATTATTTCTTATTTATTTGCTTAATGCATGCTCCTCTGCCTGCAACTCCTAAAAATAATAAATCTATATAGATTATCTGCTCTTATTTATCATCTATTGTTAGAGAATGTAACTGCCTTTTTGTTTGTTTCCTTCATATCGCTGGATCTTCTGTTAGTCTCGCACGGCTCGTGTAATAATTATCTCCAGGTTTTAGGCACCGAATCTGTTATGATCTGGTTTTCTGCCATTAAATCCCTAAATTCACATTCACAAAGATGTGAGTCGGAATCTTACTTCGTTGAAGCCTGGATCAGCAAACACGTCCAGGAGGTTCCGAGATGGTTCGGGTTTTCCAGCTGGAATCCTGAGCCGATGGTTGATCTCTGTGTTTGAATATTTATCCAGCAGCAGTTGGTCTCTCTCTGATGACAAACCGGAGATTTTTACTACAGACACCGAAATATTCAGCTCACGCAGCAAAAACCGTTTTCCAATCGACGACACACAGAAGGAAGCTGGAAGCTAACGCTGCTAGCACCTTGCTGCTTACTTCCGCCGGAAGTCTCACACATGGAGCTTTACTCTTGAAACACACACCACGCTTGAAGTTCTGCTTCAAACTCATCTGTATTCTTAATACCAAAATACTTTTTAGTGTTTTTTTCTTGTTATAGCAAAATATATTTTTATCCAAACTGAATTGAAGAAACTTTAATACTGATTTCAATACCTGAAAAAAATTAAAACTACAGTCATAGCCAACAAAAAATGAAACGCTGAATCAGAAGCTTCCTGTGCTGAACTAGAACACACACCTACTCCACACACACTCATGTCAACACTGAGAAATAACCCAGAAGGTTGAAGGTCACTCTATTAATGCAGCATGTTGACTTTGATTCGACTCAGTTTGATGCACATTATTATTCTTTACTACAACTTTAATCAACACAACACCCAGACTGGTAAGGCATTTGATTATTTTTTACTTTCCAGAGAAATGTTTTATTGTTCATTATTCATAATGGCAATGCAATCTGTCAAGAACAAATTGAAGAAAAATACTTGAGTATAATAATTCCTCATCTCTTATAAATATTCAACATTTTTTCTTTAACATCTTCCTGAGAAAAATAACTGAAGAACAAAAACCAAACAAACTTTGAAATGTCCCATTTTCTAATTATTAACATTTTATTGAACTTTATGCCCCCACAAAAACATTAAAGTTAGATGGAAAATCCCCCCCAAAAATTTAATATATGGAAAACATTTACAAAACTAACTTGAAAAACAAAGAAAAGACAATTGACCAAACAGTTGTAACATTGTTTTTCCTTCTGGACAAACATCCCACTGTTGTTTTCAAAACAGTTTATTCAGGTTCATCCAGAAAATTCAAATCTCAGACAACTAGAGACCATGTTCCTGATAAGACCTGGCATTTTGGGATAAATAGAAAGATTTGTTTAATGAATGAACTGAAATAAAAAAAATTACAAATATTAAAAATCTCTCTTTTGGAATCAATAAAGACAATTTTTTGTGTCACATGTAGAGACTGGAAAGAAGAGACGTATAGGAGAAAGTTTGATAGAAATGCTTGAAAGAAGTTGACTTCCTGAGTATAAATGCTTTTATTTTGATGGAACTTCAATGTTCAGTTAATTGGTCTTGAATCTGGGCTGGATAATGACTTTTATCTGGTGGTAACTGATAAAAAGTTTAACTGATGTCCAATCATTCTACTTAAAATCTTGACCTCCCATCATGCACTCTAAATAACTTTACTCCTCCATGTGGTAAATGGAGGGTTCATGTTGAGATTAGCCCAGCTTTGATGCTTTCAAAGCAGCAATACTGTTTAATGAAAGGCTCCAAATCCATAAATATTTATGATATAGTCAAACCATAAGTTTTGGAACAACATATGGGAAGTTTTAACTGGAATCATGAAATGGCTGCAGAAGGATAATCATTCTAACTTTCAAGATTTCAACTAATTTTCAGACCAATGCAGAAACGAGTTCATGCTTTTACGACAGAACCATTGAAGAGCAATTCCTCACTAGCAACATGTAAGATGGAGCCCAAGCAATCAAGATAGAAAGACCCCAGGCTGCTACTGCATTGAACTATGACCTTCTGCAAAGCAACAGAGCTACAAACTGCACCTCTGCATAGTCTCTGTGTGAAGTCTCATTGGGCAATTCAAACATTTCTTTAGGTGGAAACTTTTTCCACATTAGAAATGATTCTGAACTGAGTTCTCATGGCGATGCAAAGTATGTTTCTGACTGAAACCTTTCCTACACTTTCCACATGAGAAAGGTTTCTCACCTGTATGCGTATTCATGTGGCGATGCAAAGTGTGTTTCCGACTGAAACTTTTTCTACACTTTCCACAAGAGAAAGGTTTCTCACCTGTATGAGTTCTCATGTGGCTCTTCAGATTGCTTTTCTGACTGAAACTTTTCCTACACATTTCACATGAGAAAGGTTTTTCCCCTGTATGAGTTCTCATGTGGTTTTTCAGACTGCATCTCAGATGGAAACTTTTCTTACACATTCTACATGAGAAAGGTGTGAAAAGTTTTTCACCTGTATGAATTTTCATGTGCGTATTCAAATTGCATTTCTGACTGAAACTTTTCATACATATTCCACATGAGAAAGGTTTCTCACCTGTATGAGTTCTCATGTGGCTCTTCAAATTGCCTTTCAGATGGAAACCTTTGCTACACATTGTACAAGAGAACAGCTTCTGAACTGAGTGAGTTCTCTTGTGGCAACTGAAACTATTTTTGCTAAAGAAGCTTTTCCCACAGGTTACACATGAAAAAGGCTTCTCATCTGTGTGAGTTCTCATGTGGGCTTCTAAACTCTGGTTCCATTTGAAACTTGTACTACAAAGTTTACATATTTTACTCTGGTTAATTTCCTTGTCCTTTGTCCCTGTGTTTCCTCTGCCTCTGGTTTTCACAACTCTCTGTTGATGCCGTTCATCTCTGCTGGATCCTGAAGCTTCGAGAGTCTTTCTGTCTTGATGGTGTTCTGCTTTAGGGATGTTCTTAGAGAATTGATTTCCATTGCGTTCAGGTTGTTGGTGTTCTGTTTCATTATCCGTTGCCATTATCAGTGGATTCTGATTTTCATTTTGACTTGTGTCATTGGCCTCCGTCTTTACCTTCTGCAGAAAGTCTGATTCACCCTCCTCTTCTTTCACTTGTTTTGGTTCAAACTCTTTGATTTCATCTTGACTAATGTCTTCAATCTTAATCATCTGCTGAGAATCTGGATGATAATCATCTTCCTTTATTTGCTTCAGTTCCAGTAAAGCTGCTTCCTCTTTGATTCTCACAGATCCACATTCTGTTCCCATTAATGTATCACTTTCCTGCTTCAGTTCATTCTGGTTTTCTACCTGAATGATGCTTTCAGTCTCAATCTTTACCATCTGCTCAGATGCTGATTGATGATCCTCTTTCTTTATTTGTTGCAGTTGTAGTTCTACTGGTTCTTCTTTTACTTCAAGTGATCCTGAATCTATTTCCACTAAGGTTTCTATCCATTGCTTTGGCCCAATGTGATCTTCTTTCTTGACAGTCAGCAGAGGTTCTGATCCACACTCTTCTTCCTTTACTTTTGGAAGCTGAAGGGTCTCTGCTCTCCCTTTAAGCTCTAGAGACATGATGCTTTGGCAAACCTGGCAAACAGAAAAAAGCAACAACACAAATGTTTCCATTTTAGTTTAAAATTTGCAAAATGTTTTCCAGTGATGGGGGAGACATGGGCCTCTCACACATTGAGAGGCCAATACTCTGCATGTCCATATTAACAATCATGCTGAGGTTTTTTTAAGCTGAATTATTTAACGACACAGACATGATATGATTAGCTTTTTTTCCACCAGATGAACTGATGGACGTCCAGAGGAACCTGGAGCCAGTGTTCCAGTGTTCCAGGCAGTTCGGTTCCCACAGGAGCCTCACGTATAAATCATACTCACAAAAAATGTGCGGCACCATATTTTACGCACGAGTTGAGATGTATAAAAACGAATGTGACGGCAAATTTTACGTAAATATACACAAACTTTTTACTTGCCATGAAAATGTGCAGCAGCCACGTAAACTTTTTTTGTGCATAGTAAACTACCAGGTGCCAAAATTCACCTAAATACACTGAAACCTGATGGCATCCAATGTTATTTAGCAAGAAGCATCCAAACCGATGTTTTTCATGATTTTAATATTTTGTTTTAACGTAAACGATGGAACTGAACCACATTTATCCTCAGACAATAATATAACACACACCAAATAAATAAAATAAAAATAAAAGGATGTGAAAACCTCACTAGAATGTAAATAGTGAATTTCTTCAGTTTTTGTCTCATAAAGATGTAACTGTATCGGTCTGTGCGCCGAAGCATATGAATGCATGTTATCATTTCATTCTCACTGACAACCGGGCTGATCAGCAGATTAACTCCAAACAGGTTTGATTATTTTAAGGTGATCAGGTGTGTAGATAATATTGTGGAACATTTTGGCTCTGATGGAGAACATCGCCAATGGAAGGACTCAGAGGTATCGATTGGTCAGAGATCTTATTGATCTGCTGGGAAATGTTGATGATGGATTATTAGCTTTTGTTGCCCAGACTGATGACCCTGCAGCTCTGAGCTGAAGGAAGAGCCGTGTGTCTCCGGTGCAGCTGGAGCTGCTGACAGGTCAGTCATCCTTCAGTCCAGCCATGCCAGCTTGTGAATAGAAAGTATCTCCATTCTGTAAATGTACAACTAATACATACAATTCCTCTATTTAGAATAAACTTCCACATTCCTCAATCACCACAAAGGACTCTCTTGACGCTGTCTTTCTTTAAATGCCTTGTTGCTGAAAGGTGCTACACAAATAAAATTTGATTTGATTGAATCCCGGCTCCTGTTCAAACCAGCATTTCCACTTGGATGCTTTGTTTTTCTAATTAGAGTTTTTCCTTTATTTTTTGTGAGGTGACTGTATGTGTTCTGACAGCATCTTTTAATTAAAATACATAATACCAATAGTTATTATTATTATAATTACTTATACTGATACAAGCCAGGACCGTTGCCATGGTTACTGCTGGTGGCAGCCATCCGGATATTTATACTAATTTACATTAAGATGCATTTATGGGTGGTGACAGGCGGACCACATACGTGCATACACACGGCTTTATACATCTGAATCTCTTTGTGCGCCACACTTTTCTAAATTTGTCCGTACGCCAAGTTTTGGTGTGGAAGCAGCGCACCATTTTAAACATGAGGCCTCCAGGCTGGACAATGGTTAAAATACAGAAGATCAGGTTTACTGGATGGTTAATGAACCCAAGCATGTTGCCTTAATGGACACTTGTCTTAAAAACAATGGTGTAAAATGCAATGAGGTAATGAGGTTGAAAATGTACACCTACTTTTTAAAACAGAACCTAAAACAACAGGAGCATCAATACAAAAAGTTAGATTAAGTTCTGACAGAAACACTAAATGTTACAGGGTAATTTTGATGAGTTTAAATATCTTAGTCGACATAAAATCTTACAAAACCACCAAGTAACTTTCCAATAAGATTTAGGAGCTTGTTTTCAGTTAATTCTGCTATATCTTATAAATTCATTTTGCACTTAAAACATCTTATTTTGAGTAACACTTTTAAAGAAACAACATTTTTCTTATCTAACATAAAACTTTTAACCTGCTTACCTGTTAAAATAGCCACTAAAATCAAGATGTGAATAGGAAGCTAATTTTAGCAACATGTGGAAGCATGGATGAGCAAACACTACCTGGTGGTTCCGAGATGATTTGGGTTTTACTGCTGGAATCCAGTCGTCTGGGCTGATGATCGATGATCGATGATATTTCTCCAGCAGCAGTTGGCCTCTCTCTGATGATGAACTCAAGACATTGTTACTGCAGACACTGAAATATTCAGCTCACACAGCAAGAACCGTCTTTAACCGACGATAAACAAAAGGAAGCCTCGAAGCTAACGCTGCTAGCATCATGTGTTTTACTTCCGCCGGATGTCCCACGTGGAGCTTTACTGTAGAAACAGACACCGTGCTTTCACTTCCGCCTCGAACTAACAATTTTCAGTTTATTCTTGTTTTGACTCAAAATATTTTCTGAGAGCTGAATTTACACAAATGTAATACTGACTTCAACATGTGAATAAATTAACTACAGTTATGCCATACTGTCATTCTTAATGCATAACAATAAGATATGGTTCTGTATCTCTCTTTAACACAAGAAAACATTTAATTATCCTGTTGTAATGGGAAATAGAAATAGAACTATATTCAATAAAAGTGCTAAAACTACAGAAAATAAAAAGACTTAAGTTCTCAGGAAATAATTCACTTTTTAACAAATATTGCTAAATATTGTTAAAACAGACATTTATTTTTTTACTTTAACAGCCTCTATAATCTGAGATGTCATCATGTCCCAGCTTATTCGTAGTTTTACACAAAATATTTTCACAAGTCCACCACTCTGATTGTAAATACAGGACAACATTTAAGTTGGTTTAAAATAAATATATTTTTCACTAATTTATTTTAGCACTAGTTGAAAAAAGTGTTTCTGATCATATGAGCAGATAAAGAATCATTAGAGGAGTAACAAAGGAAATGGACTAGCTCTGCTCCTCAGAAACAAATGCTGCGATGCAGCTCATCTGATCATGATGGATCATCTAAGACGTCCAGATTTCACTCTGTCCACTCTGCAGGGCTGCTTTGAGGACAGACACGGATCCACACCACTGAAACCATTGAAATAATATCAGAATCATGACAGCATATCTAAGCTTCTCTATGAAAAACACAATGAAGTCTGATTTACATCAGAAAACACAGGTAGCTCAGAACACCTAACAAATATAAAACCTAATTAATGTTGCTTTAATTTTATAAAAGGTCAAGTTCTTTGTTCTTTGGAGATGCATGAATCTTGTTCATTTGTGTTTTTCCTTTGTATTTTCCATTTGTATGTTGCTTCAAACAACCCAGGACCTGACAACATATTTTCTGCCGTCATCATGTGGGTCACCAACTGTTAGGTTATAAAAACGCTGCATATTTGTTGGAATAAGGAAGATGCAAGCTGATTCTTTTCCAGATAATTTATTGAAAGAATATGGAGAGTTCATGCTCACACAAAGGCTCAGAAGTTCAAGAGAGAAAACTGTATTAATTCAGCCAGTATCAGTTTTATACAATAAAGGTAAATGTAATTTTATTTATATAGCACATTTTCAGCAACAAGGCAATACAAAGTGTAATAAATTCAACAAGACCGGAAAGTTGGGCAAGTCCATGAAAAGATATTTAGGTACCCAATCGACACTTTACATCAGGGGAGCCCAAAGTGGGTCCTGGAGGCCCAAAGTGGGTCCTGGAGGCCCAAAGTGGGTCCTGGAGGGCCGGCATCCTGCATGTTTCAGTTCTCTCCCTGGTTTAACGTATCTGGATGAAATGACGGCTCATTAGAGGCCGAAGAGGAACATTGACAAGCTGAAAAGGTTGTTACTACCAGGGAGAGAACAAAACATGCAGGATGCCGGGCCTCCAGGACCCACTTTGGGCCTCCAGGACCCACTTTGGGCCTCCAGGACCGAACTTGGGCCTCCAGGACCGACCTTAGGCCCCCCTGCTTTACATTTTCAATTAATCTTGTCTTCTGAATAGCAAATTTCAGCAATAGTGCATATAAAGGGTTGTCGTGCTTTAAATGGTAAAACCACCATAACCAATTATGAAACAAGCAATGAACTACATTTTGTTAAATGCCATCATCAAAATAAAGCAAATATACATCAAATACGTTGATCGATATTTCAGCTGTTCTTAATCAAAGACAACTCTACATAAGTCAGTATTTAGCCTTGATTCAAACAAACTGTTGTTTTTAAAGCTTGGGAGGAAACAAAGCAAGAAGAGCTTAACTGAGTTGAGTTTCATGCCATTTACCTTCAGCCCATTGGACAAACAGCTTCTCTCACTCCTTACTAGTAGAGCACTTCTCCAGAGGTCTCTTCATACCAGACACCACCTGATTGGTACGTTCACACCAAACGCATTACGCACAGCACAAACGCGTCCGACACTTCAAGACGCATGAAACCCGTTTGGTGTGAACGCACCATAACTATAATGGGAGCAACAGAATCCATGTCTGAAATGTTATAATCTGTCAGCGAATGATTCCTATTTTCACCTGTGTGTTCGCATATGACGAACCAAATCACTTTTCTGTATGAAAGATTTATCACACACTTCACAGAGATACGCCTTCTCCCCAGTGTGAGTTTTCATGTGTCGAGGCATACTACTGAACTCACTTAGTAATTTACCACATACTGTACAAGATGATAACTTCACACGCTTGTGAGTTTTTAGATGACGGGTCAAATCACTACGTTGTCTGAAAGATTTATCACATAATTCGCAATTGTATGGTTTATCTCCCGTGTGAACTTTCATGTGCATAGTCAATTTATATTGTTGTTTAAAACCTTTTCCACAAGTAAGACAGGGGAAAGGCATCTCCCCAGTGTGAGATAATGTGTGGTTAGCTAAATCGCTGCGCTTTCTAAAAGACTTACCACACTTTTCACAACAATGTGGTTTCTCATCTGTGTGAGTTTTCATGTGACAAGCCAAATCACTTCTCTGTCGGAAAGATTTATCACACAATTCACAAGAAAAGGGTTTCTCACCTGTGTGTGTTCTCATGTGATACCTCAAGGTAGTTTTCTGGATAAAACCTTTACCACAGTCTAGACACTGGAAAGGTTTCTCACCTGTGTGTGTTCTCATGTGACACAACATGGTGGTTTTTTGGATAAAACCTTTACCACAAACCAGACACTGGAAAGGCTTCTCACCTGTGTGGGTTCTAATGTGGACAGTTAGGTCAGGTTGCCTAGGAAAAGCTTTACCACAAGTCAGACACTGGAAAGGTTTCTCACCTGTGTGATGCGTCATGTGAACTTTTAGGTCAGGTTGCCTGATGAAACCTTTCCCACAAGTCAGACATAAAAATGGCTTCTTGTTTGTGTGAATTCTCATGTGAGATACCAAGTACCTGTACCTACCAAAACTTCTGCCGCATACCTTACATGAGATCAAATTAGTTTTAAAAGCATTTGGTTCTGATTTGTCCACATTGTCCCGGTGGTTTTCAGTGTCCTGAAGTTTCTTCTCTGGCTGCGGATCTTTATCTCCACTTGATCCTGAGTCTTTCTGGTTGCTTTCCTGCTGATGTTGGCAACCTTCAGGGTTGTTTGCAAAGAGGAGTTGGTCCTCGTTGGGTTCTGGTTCACTGTTATCTTGTTGCTTATAGGTAAGAGATACTATACATGTTTCAGGTTCCTGCTTCACTACAAGCTGCTTTTCATCCTGTTTACTGTAGAGATCCTCATGTTCCACTTTAATCGGACTGAGTTCTGGTTCCTCTTTAATATGTACAAGTTCTGGTTCTTCTTGTTCTTCTTTAATCTGTACCAGTATTGGTTCTTCCTGTTCTTTAATCTGTATGGATTCTGGTTCTTCTTGTTCTTCTTTAATTAGTACAGGGTCCAGTTCTTCTTTTGTCTCCATCATCTGCTGCAGTTCTGGTCCACTGTGGAATATTTCGTCATCAGCAGGAGTTACAGGAGTCATAGAGTTGTTGCTCTCCTGCTTCATTAAAAGCTGCCCTTCATTTTCAAAGATCCATAGTTCAATCTGTTCTTCTTTGATTGAATAAGGTTCTGGTTCCTCTTTCGCCTCAGTTATCTGCTGTGGTTCTGATTCCTCTTTCATGTCTGGTCAGATTTCCACTCTTCCACCAGGAAGGAATCAGCCAGAACCTTCCAGGTCAGAAACAGACCAGGAGGCATGTACGGCCTGAGGGAAGGAAGAACAGCAGAACTTTAGCATTTTATAGAACGTGACCCAGAAGCCAACAAGCTTAGCTGGAACTACAGATGAAACCCGACATGTTTGGGTGTCATTTATTCATTGTAAAGCTACGCAAGTCTGATGTCATTTACTTTTAATTATTCACAGCTCAGCTATTTGATTTGTGTTTGGTTTGCGTAGAATCAGCACAAAGTATCAAACATTTGAGGAAATGAGACAATTCCTCATTTCCATGAATAATCTGAAAGATCCAAGAGCAAATGGTTGAACAGCAGAGCGTTCAGCCGGGATTTGAAGACAGACGAGGTGTCGGAGCGCCTCACGCTGAGGGGAAGTTTATTCTGAATAGAGGAATCGTGTGCATTCACAAAGCCATGCTCATCACAAACGATATGAGAACATATTGGTCTCAAACTGTTTTTATTTAAAGGAGCAAATTTATAAATAAAAAACAACATTAAATATAATGTGTATTTTTAATGGGACATTATTTCAAATATCTTATGACAGCTGCTGCTTTTTCCTCCTAATATTTTTAAATAAAGTCCAAACTAAGCATCTGATTCCTATTTTCAGTTTTAGTCAATACAAATCATAATCACAAGTACCTGATAAAACTGACATTTGTTTTTAAAATATTATTCAATTTTACAATGTGTGATAAAGCTGCTGCCTTTCTCATACTTACAGTTAAACTGATGCATTAAACTCAGTGAGGGATTTTCTTTTTCTCAGAAGTTACTTGAACTAATTTTCTCCACTCCTGTGTCTTCTCATCGATCCAAAACCGTGAGATCTGAATCCATCCCAGCCCAAAGATCAGTGCCGGTGTTGTCTTATGTTTTATCTTTACTCAATAAAAAATATGATTTCAAATGTAACTGAGTAACTTTATTCAAAACAAATTCAAGTCAAAGTAAAATTTCAGGTTTTGTAAACAACTTAAGGTACAAAAAAGACAAATTATAATTACAGCAACAGATGTAAATGTAACTAATTACTTGTCGTTGTTCCGACCCGATACCTGCTGCAGAGGATGAGCTGTAGTTTTATGGGTCATGCAAAATAGTTTTCTCATGTCAGTGGCATTATTAGGCCATCATATTAACACACATGTTCATACAGATAAATGGAGA